CTTCAAGATGAAAAATATAATATGCAACAAGAACATTAAAAAGGCTTTGAGAATGTGCATTGCAAGGTGCAAAGCATTCCTGGTCAAACTATTTTGCACAAAATAATTGGATTTGAATCTTTTGCTGGTCAATGACCTTAATAAAATATTTATTATTATTATTATTATTGGATTTGAATACATTTTGTTATATTAAAAGGAAGACAGAGAAGCATTTCAGAAAGGGATTTTTTTTGCAGGGTGTTAAGAATTTTCTTGGATGGGGAGGGTGAATAAGACGTAAGATGAAGGAATAAAGACCAAGTAGTCATAAAATTCTTAAACTATCAAAAGCGATCTAACATCAGTCATGAAGTATAAAATGTAAAGTAGGTAGATTGTTGCAGCTTCTCATTCAAAGTAAAATAAATGGGGAAAGAAGCATAGGAAGGAAAAGAGCGTATTTGCAGAAGAACCCTGGAGACTGGCTTGGATGCAGCACCACAACCTGGAGAATCCCTAATTCAATATAGTCATGATGGGGTCCAACCTGTGATGAAAGAGGAACAACAACAACAAGAAGACGTATATCTACAGCTCAGTATATAGTAACAATGGGGAAATGAAAGCATAGATGAGGGGGCAATATAAAATCACTCCAGCTTATAGCACAACCGTACTTTTGACTTTAAATTGTGAGGACAATTTGACTGAATTTATCAAGAGCAAGGAGAAATTCTCAGACAATTTCTCATAGGTAAAGCTCAGCATTAGCTCTGGTTATAGCACAGGTTTGTGTGCTGCCACTGCAACTGGCAACAATGGCAACTGTGTTGGTAGACTGGGCCTTGTCTGACTCCCTCCATCACGCCTTCTTCCTAGCGTCTTTTGAGGGCATAGTGGTGGAGATAATGAGGTGGAGATAATGAGGCAACGAAACTATGGAGAAATTTTGGAAATAGTTATGCAAAGTGGCTCTCTATTCCTAGGCGAGTAAGAAAAAGAACATTTCAGAATGTTTCTCAGGAAAATTGTCTTCTGAGAAATGATGGCTATGAACTTGTAACAATTCTGGGTTCAATATCTTTCCCACGTCTTCAAATTTTACTTTTTTGAGAGTCATTGCAAATAGATGTTGTTTCATCTTGGGATGTGTATAAAGATTCCTCTTTCTCTGAAAGGTCTGTATTGCGTATATGGGAGAACAGTGGGAAATTCAGCTTCAGGGGAAAAGTGAACCTTTTGCTGTGCCAAAATTTGTTCTCCAATTCTTTCATTTTTATCTCCCCATGTAAAATTTTTCCTTTTTTCTTCCTCCTACTCCAAGCCTTTTAGAAAGTCTTTTGGTTATATTTTTAGCTTACCATAACACTATAAAATAGTGAAAGGTGTTGCATTTGTTCTTTTTTTTTTCCTTTCTATTACTCATCCCATCACAATTCTGCAGTTTTCTTGGTTGCCCGCACTTCCTGATCTGAAAAGGCCTGGTGAGAGAAGTTACTAGATGGTATTGTCCCCTGGGCTATACAGGAAGCTGTTGGGAAGGGAGGCTGCCATTTGCTATAGAGATAGTTCAACAATGAAAGATGAGCCATGTACACGCACTTGTCATCAGTCACCTCATAAGTGAGGTAAGCACAAGAACCTTGATCTTCACTATGAGAATTTGTATGAAATCTCCTTTTGGAAATACTTTTGGAAGGGAAGGGTGCAAATTGAATGGCTGAAATTCTCAAGGAAGAAATTTTAATGCACACCATTAATAACAACACAAACCTTAGCGATTGTTCCTACACTCGTATCTCTAAGTATTTTTGCTTCTAGTAAATGAAGCTTGCCACATCTGGAAAGCGACTCAGGAGACTTTGGTTCAAATCCCTGCATCTAGAAAGTGCCAGATTGGGGAAGGCAAAAGAAGGAGCTTTTTCTTTAAAAAAGTGCCACACTGAAGTAATGGTATCAATTCATTATGTGCTCTTTTTTCTGACAGCCCTATGGGTTATAACATTAATTGCAACATTTATTTATTTATGTATTATTTGATTTCTACCCCGCTCCTCTAGACAGAATCTACTTGGGGCGGCTTACAAACAAGTATAAGACATTATAAAATACAATCAAATAGAATCATCAAAATATATATAAAACAATCACATAATTTAATCAGCAAACTAGAAGATCAAGATGGAGGAAAAAACTAAAGAGAAAGGAAAATCAGGTGTTGACTGGAGGGAAGGCCTGCCTGAAGATCCAGGTCTTTAAATGTTTTTAAAACACCCAGCGAGGGTGCCAGGGTGATTTCCAGCGGCAAGGTGTTCCATAGTTGAGGGGCCACTGCCGAGAAGGCCCGGTTTCTTGTTCTTTCTTTCCGGGCCACTCTCGGTGTTAGGCCCCTCAGCTGTCTTTCCTGGCTAAAACTTTAATATTTTATCAGGCATTTTAAAAAACATTGTTACTGGATATCTATTTTCTCATACATGGAAGACTTTCCATACTGCCTATCCGTTTGGAAGGAAATAGAAGTTATTTTAATAAATCAGCCCAAGCTGAATTCTTGCAAGTACATTTACACAAATTGCTAACCTAGCAAAATTCTGCCCACTGACTGGCCCACCCACTCAAACCTATGTGAATAAAAATGCAAGAAATATGCATGAAGAGCCATGCAATTCTAACTTCAGAGCTCAGAACTCCAGAAAACGTTATTTTAAACCAAATTTTTCTGGACTACAAAAATATACAGGCCACTCAGGATCAAAGTTGACACCTGAAGTGGATTTAAAAGGAAACTAGTGATCAGTGAAGGTTTTAGAATAGGTGAAGACAAGGAAGATTGTAATCACTTGCCTATAAGAGGTGAAAAATGCCTCTGGACAAGCATTGATTGGTTTTGGGATGGTTTTATAAACGAGATCAGAATGGCTTATTCCCCTCCCTTGCTGCCCCAGCTGTGGGTGTAACCCACTAGACCGCAAGCCATCTGGTGTTCAGGTGGATGAACAGGCTAATAAGAAAAGTTTGCAGACGAAGTATAACTTGTGTGTGTGTGCCTTTCATTGTAGGCTGATGATGAAATGTTTTGAGGGACAAGAAATTTTAAAATCTATTGAATAAAGAAGCCTTCCAGAGCAGTCCTCCATATGTTTATTCAGAAATCATATATGTATACTGGATGGCACTTTAGTTCAATAACTATTTTTTTCACCAATTTGCACAGGTGTCTTGTGAGGAGTTTGTGAATTAATAAACAAAAGGTATTAAGTCACTGGATGCTGAGGTCCAGCTGGAAAATTTATTACCAGCTCAGGCAGGGAGTCTGCATCCACAACAGCTACCATTGATGATGGTTTATGTCAGATAAAACCTGCTAGTCTTTAGATCTTAGAAAAGACTTCTAGATTAACTTTTTATTTTGGGTGATACCACAATCCCATCTAGTCCCAAGAATCAAATACAGGCTGTGACTACAATGACTTTCAGATTTGCACTGCAAATTCCAAGGTTCCATTTATTTAT